ATATTAAATATGTTTTTCTCTATATTTTCTACTTTGTACATATTTTTTCTCTTAAAGGTAAGTGAATACTTCAAAATCAAAGTCCTTAGGTCTAGCATTGTACAAAACTAAATTGTTCTTTTTATTTTTACTTAATGAGCGAGTAAGTAGATATGTTCTCATCTGTATATGTTTCTATAACATTGTATATGCATATAAAAAATAACTATAATACAATGTAAACTACAATTGAATAAAATGTGCATACGACGTGACTTGATTAATTTCTACTCTTTCTCAACTCATTTCACAGCCCCAAAGTTCAACTGTGCAAATTCTATATGCGATATATAATTATTCATTTATACTACATAGAATTGTAATAGGAAATTGTTATGATCTGCTAAGCGTTAGATGAAGTGTAACAACTTGTCATACAGCTTGACTTACAAGTGGGAAGCGATTGGAAAAATGCTCGAATGAAGTCGTCTTATAAACGTCATGAATGTACCTACTCAGATAAACTTAACTATATGTTGTTTTATCATTATCAAATAACTATAGTGCTCGAAACTTTTAGCTCTTAGCTATGATTATAGTTATGAAGCCATCAAGAAAGGCTGTCATAAAGCTAGTGACTTAATCATTTCTAGTTTGCAAAGTAGTTTGCTTCATAGATAATAATATATGGTACTCATAGTTTGCCAGCAATATCAATAGTATTTGTCTCTTCTTTGTATAGCCTCTCTCTCAATAGACAAGCTGGTCTATAGATTTCGATCTATCCATCTTCGGTACTTTGGCTTTGTATAACCTTTCTATGCAGTTCTCACTAGCTATTGATAGTTTATCATCTGTCTCAATAACCTCTCTTCCAGAAATATCAAATATTCTTTTATTTGAATAACTGCTTTATGCAGTTGTCTTAGCTTCCAGCAATGGCAAATAATCTTAGCTTTGTATAACCTCTCTATGCAATTCTCATTGCTTCCAGCTTCACTTTGACTAACCTATCCATGCAATTCTCATAGCTGTCACAGATGGCTAACCATTTGTCTCTTGCTTTGTTACTTTCACTTTGAATCATTTCTCTATGCATTTCTCATGGCTTCCAGCGTTTCTTTGAATAGCCCCTCCATGCGATTCTTATAGCTGTCACTGATGGCTTACCATCTGTCTTTATCTTTTACTTTATTCAATTCGCATAGCGATGCTTAATTATTTATCTTACTGCTCTCTAACAAGATATTCAAAGCAGAGCTACGTCAAGTGCGATTTCAAGGCTGCATTGAAGCACTTTTGCGGCTGAGCATGTTAACAATAGCATATGCTTTAGTTGACTAGGCAATATTTGCAATTGCCATTGTCAAGAGGCTGATGTATTTGCTGCAGCTGACCCAGCCAAAGGGATTACCCAGCGAGCTCCTTCAGCCAATGCAGGAGTCTCTCTCTCTCTCTCTCTCTGTCTCTGTCTCTCTCCGTGTGTGCTCATTGAGTGTATTGTCGGGGCGTAAGTTCAAATATTTGTCAAGCGAGAAGCGGATGCCGTACGTAAGTTCATATTGACTGAGGCTTCTGACTCTTGCGCCAAAGCAGGCTCAGCAGCAGCTGCAGCCAGTTCCAATTGTGGACATTGGACTGTGCAGTCCGGGCAGAGAGCAGCTCATGTAAGATATGTTCAATTGGGATGTGTGCTTTACAATTGCCAAATACCCTAAGTGTTGGGGTGCAGGCATACTTGGCATGGTGTCAAATACGGTCACACTGATACACAATTCCATTGTCGTGGATATAAAAACGTAATGAGCATAAAGTTCTCGGGGCTGCCGTGAAAAGTTTTTACTTACTCTTAATTCGGGTCATTCCGCGTTAAGTATTTAGCACACAACTTTTATATGGCTATAAATGCCAGGCTGTGATACCCTGTAGTAATACAAATGTAAGAATGGGTGTATTGAAATAATGTATATGTTTGTAAAAGGTAAAAAGAGTGATTTCAAATAGTTGGCTAAATAATACAGATTATAGACTTGTGTAATATACCCTGTAATCGGGGATATTGGTAACTATGTTTTTGTATTATATTTTAGATATTGAAGTAAAAATTAAAGGGGGCTTACTCAAGACTTATTGTATTATAGAATATATAATAAAGTTCTGTATACCCTGTAATTAGGTAATTTGCAAATTATGATGCAAAATGATATTTTAGAAAGTGAAAGTGTCATTAAAACTAAAAATTACATTGGTCTTACTCAAGTTATATGATATTTTATAGAGTTAAAGCTCAATTAAAGCTAAGAATCAAATTGGACTTCTTTGAGTATTATTATATTTACGGACTATCTAATGGAAGTAATAGATATCCTGTAATCTGTTCAATTGTTAGCCATGATGCTATATGATATTTTGTAAGATCAAAGTTTAATTAGAGCTAAAAAGTCAATTGGACTTACTCAAGTCTTGCTAAATCATAGGATATCTATAGCTCAGTCCTCTTGTTTACTTTTGCCACTCAATGTTGGCTTCTGTTGTTGTTGTTGGCGGGCTGGCTACTGTGTTAATTTTTTAAAAGGACGCCAACTGTCATGATGCAGCGCAGATGATAATGACGAAGACGAAGGCAACACTGACAACAACTGAAGGAGGAGGTGTAGAAAGAGGAGAAGGAAAAAGTTGTCTTTTATCTTGTGAAAAGCATGAAATGCAAAACACTTGAACTGAGTGGAAATGAAGGCGAAAGTAAAATAAGTAACAAAACAAGACAAGAAGCGAATGTACACACACATACACACACCCACACATACATACACGCAGCAGCAGTGGCAGAAGAAGAAGACGAAGAAGCAGAGGCAGTGRAAAACGTTGGCAGTGTTGATAAAGACAGCAAAGACAAAAGCTATGCACACGCCTAATGGGGCGCCTGAGTCTGAGTCTAGAGAGACGGATGACTGTCAGACGCAGCTTCCCTGTCCATATCCATGTCCGCGTCCATGTTCATGTCCATGTTCATGTTCATGTTCATGTTGTGGATGCTGTTGATGTCCTTGGCGCTGCGGCTGCGGCTGCAGCCAGCCTGTTCTAGTTAAATTGCCTGTCCTCGACGCTGTCGCTCTTAGTAAATCAGACCCCCAACAAACCATAAAAAATTATTATCATCAAAATACAAAATAAAATACAAAAACAAAAAAAAAAAAAAAACATAAAAAGTGGGACAAGAATTCGCTGAATTGCAAAGATTAAATGATATCGCGTTAACTAGCGATGCTTATAAATAAACAGCACGAGCTGAGAGTTAATTTCTCATTGTGTATTGTCCTACTTAATACCCTGTAAATATACTAATCAGATGTGTGCTGAGTGCCTGCAATTGCAGCATAATATTTATAGAATATAATTTGTAATCTTATATGGACAGTCTTATATTGCGGGCTTATATCAGCAGTCTCATATTTAATGTCTTTTATTTATAATCTTATACTCTGCGCATACTTTTTGATTCTTATATTTGCAGAGTTATATTTACAGGAATGTGTTGAAAGTCTCATATTTTAGTCATATTGTCTCTTATATCAGAAATATGATACACTCCTTTTTTTAAATCTTGTAGACTTCAATAGAATGCATTCTATATGCACATTGAATTCTTATACATGTATAGCCTTTTCACTCATTCATATTTCAAGTCTTATATTTGCTGTCTTATATTTTGGTAACCTTATATTTAAAGTCTTATACACTTAAAGTCTTATATTTCCTGTCTTATGTATTTGCAATTTTATATTTGAGATCTTATACACTCAAAGTCTTATATTTGCAAGCTTACGTTTTCACTCTTATATTTGCAAATTTATATCATTAGTCATTGTATGTAAATCTTTCATTTGCAGACTTCAATTTGTAATCTTAAATGAATAGTCTTATATTTGCAGTCTTCTATAAGAAGCTTTATATATTCATAGTGTTTGAAATCTTAGAAATTTGTAGTCTAAAATTTACAGTCTTATACAGCTATTGTCTTATAATTACAGTCTAAAATATACTGTCTTATATACGTATGTATATTCTTATATTTACCGTCATATATACAGTCTTATGAGTATAGTCTTATATTTTCAGTCTTATATGTACTTCTGCCTACGATTTTATAACGTTCGCCTGTATAGACACCAATTGTATTTTGGGTTGAAGTACTATAGATTTTTAAAAATGTTAATCTCTATAATAATGTAACTGCTTATAAGTGGGCCGCATGGCATACCCATGTTGGCTGCCACAGAAAGCTGCTTTGATTAATGTTTCTCACTTTTTCTCGCCTATTATTCTCACTTTCAAAACACAAAAGATTGAATACTTATACACTTGTCGAGAGTTTTATAGCATTTTTTTGTGATACCAAGAGATGAAGACTCCACAGAGTATATATATATGTATATACTTGTTCGGTATGAGCTGTAGAGTTGACACAGCCAGCTGGCAGACAGAATATAATATAGTCTATAAAATCTATATCATATGATAAGTTCAACCACATATCAAATATATTATTTATAACACATAAAAGTTTCATCTTAGATATCTGTAAGAGTATTTAATCTTCGACTAGCTGCGGTAGGGGCATTGTTCATTCTCTTGTTTATTAATATATTGTACTATATTAGGTTTTTTACAGAATCTGCACATATTTCATAAAATGAGTAGGGTGTCCAATTTGCGTGGACTCGTCGGCTCTATATAGTCAGCTAGTTACATGGGTCGTAACGACCCAATCAGAACACAATGCTTTTACATTATTCTGATTTGAGGCGCTCAGGGGCCAAGGTGGATGCAAGTTGAAGAGCTCCTCCTCCTTTCCTCTCCCTCTCTCTCTCCCCCTCTCTGTGTGTGTGTGTGTGTGTGTGTGTGAACAAATGCTTTAATTTTTTATGATCTGACCCAGGGCCACTTCAGCAGTGCAGTACGTGGATATATTTCCTTG